CCTTCTGGATCTGATCTAAGCGATTTTCTTTAGTCCGTGAGTGTAATGTTTTTCTGCAATGCTGTATCACGCTGGGCCCAGCTTGTCAGTTTTCTTTGTAGAATGTTAAATTATCACGGATAGTGACTTACAGATCCAAAATTATAAGAGTGAAATGCAGCTTAAACTGAAGCTACATAAACTTACTATGGAGAATTGAATTGTGACTCAGTAAACTCCAGCTTAGTGTTTTTCTAAGGATAGTGTGAGGCTTTTGACTGGAGCGCGTAGTTCCTCCCTTGGTAATAGCTTTGAATAAGCTTAACAGTCTTTAAACTGTTTTGTTATTGCCACAGTTTGTGATCAGGCAAGACCATGGTTTCGGTTCTCCTCACGAACCTCATCAGTTGCCGGGTTGGCTTTGTGCTTAGTTGCTTTTAGAAGAGCAACTTTAGTTGTACTTTGTCGTGGCGAGAACGCTATAGCCGTTCTGTCTGTTGAGCTTTGAACTGAACATAAATACCCACGTGGCGGATCGAAATTCTTGTTTTCTTATTGGCTACTGAACGTAACCAATTGCGGACTGTGTATTTCGATCCTCTTCTGCTTCAGGCTAGAGGTGTGTTTTTTTGGAAAGCATTTCGTGAAAATTTAGGCACTTTCTTTCGTGGAAGAGTTCGAAGACTCTTGTAAATAGATGCGCACAGAGTTTCCGTACACTCCCTCTAAAAACTGGAGTGGATACGTTTCTTGTTAGTTGCGCAATGTTGAACTTTCTACTCTGTGCTTGGTTCTTATTAGTGCCAGAGTTGATTTTCATAAGGTAAAACGGGGCCTACCCGTAAACAAATCATAGCAATAAAAGGGGGTGGTAGGCCTACACGACTTTTACCTCATGCCAAAATGCTGCTTATTCCAATGAAGTTGTTTTTATCTGCTGGGTAGATTATGCTCTGGAAAGTTCTGCATTTTACTGAGCAAATGTGGTTTTAGCCGCATGTTTCACACTGAGAGGTCATGACATATATATCGATTGACTGTAGTTATTGTTTTCTGGTCGGCAGGATTTGCCCTGTGATGCAAGCGCATATTCTTTGACCTCTTTTGAAGCGTAAAGCTTTTTTTATTACGGCTGAATAAGGGTTCCAGTTTTCTCCAAAGTGCCTTCTGGATCTGATCTAAGCGATTTTCTTTAGTCCGTGAGTGTAATGTTTTTCTGCAATGCTGTATCACGCTGGGCCCAGCTTGTCAGTTTTCTTTGCAGAATGTTAAATTATCACGGATAGTGACTTACAGATCCAAAATTATAAGAGTGAAATGCAGCTTAAACTGAAGCTACATAAACTTACTATGGAGAATTGAATTGTGACTCAGTAAACTCCAGCTTAGTGTTTTTCTAAAGATAGTGTGAGGCTTTTGACTGGAGCGCGTAGTTCCTCCCTTGGTAATAGCTTTGAATAAGCTTAACAGTCTTTAAACTGTTTTGTTATTGCCACAGTTTGTGATCAGGCAAGACCATGGTTTCGGTTCTCCTCACGAACCTCATCAGTTGCCGGGTTGGCTTTGTGCTTAGTTGCTTTTAGAAGAGCAACTTTAGTTGTACTTTGTCGTGGCGAGAACGGTACAGCCGTTCTGTCTGTTGAGCTTTGAACTGAACATAAATACCCACGTGGCGGATCGAAATTCTTGTTTTCTTATTGGCTACTGAACGTAACCAATTGCGGACTGTGTATTTCGATCCTCTTCTGCTTCAGGCTAGAGGTGTGTTTTTTTGGAAAGCATTTCGTGAAAATTTAGGCACCCGCTTGTGGCCGTTGTATAAGATACGTTGGTTGTCCCCAGGGCGAGCGATTGGTCGTACGGTGCCGTCTATAAATCCAAAGCAATTTTGCAGGGGGGGCACCTATTGCGGTTATTGCTGCGGCGTACATCTCCATTTGGACGGGGTCCAGGATATCATGAATCCATCGAGTTATTCTAGGACTTTGGGTAGCGTATAAAATGTCCAGCACAGCGTTCGTCTACATACTTATAACTGGGACGGGATTCGTAAACCTGGGAATCATACAAGCGTCTTAAGACCATGCAAAGACCCTCCAGGCCGTCAAAAGTAGATCCTTGTTCACACCGCATGGTTTCTGGAATGTCAAGAACATCTGCGAGTATGGGAATGTCTCTTTTCCGAAATCTAAACTCTGACAGACACTCAGACTCGGTCATCTCATCTAGGTTGAACGGTGAATAATCCTCGTACAGAAAGCAAGGATTTTTCCATTCGAAGAAGTCAGACAACACTAAAAATTCTTCATCATCGATGAAATTAGACGTATGGCTCAAAAAAGGAAGATCTTGCATTGTTTTAAAAGACGCCATTGCGAAAAAACTTTGTCGCGAACGAACAGTTTTGTGTGAAAGGTTTGAACCCAGGAGTCATTTCAAAAGTAGGTTGAATTTGATCGTCCTGGTGAACGTAGTCCTCAATAGGACTGTTGTTGTTGACAGTGACTGACGTCTCGACAACCTGTGCGGTAGTCATCTTCAGAGTCAAATTGAGTTGTATCACGTCAGTTAATGGTATTACACTCTGGTTATTGATCTGATTGGTCAATTACGTCGTGATGTTGTCGGTCGTCTGTCAGTTGAGCCATGATGTTATTGGCTATGAACACTCGTAATCAGTAATTGGTGCCTTTCGATCCGTCTATTGTCGCAGTTAAACAGTCGTCTATTGTTAGTCAAATTGTCATTCTCTCGTAGTTAGTTTTGCTTGATCTCGTCAATAAGTCGTTTCTACGGCGCTGGTAACTGTTGGCTACGATTCAGTGGCGTTTGTTCTGAGTTAGTAAACCAGCTTTCTAAGGTAAGACGTGATAGTAGTCTGTAGAATACGTTATACATGTCGCAGAGTCCCAGTCAATTTGATGTTTCGTCTTTAAATGGTGCTCAGCAGTGTGATTGTTGACGTCACCATTCTTCGTAGCTCGTTTGTGTTCGGTCAGTCGCGTGCTTAGGTTTCTGCCGGTTTCACCGATGTAATAAGCCTGAAGATGACTACCGCACAGGTTGTCGAAACGTCAGTCACTGTCAACAACAACAGTCCTATTGAGGACTACGTTCACCCGGACGATGAAACTCAACCTACTTTTGAACAGTTTTGTGTTTACATTCAGTGCCGTCGTCGTCCCACCGAGCGACTGCATCTTAAGTTTCCTATTTCCCGCCGAAACTGACGTTCTCATTCTAGTGCTTTTCCGGTCAACAGACGTCGTCGTCGTGAACTTCGTCGTGGTTCTTAAGTTCCCTATTATAAAACAAATAACTTAAGAAAGATCAATTGATTAAACACGCGACTAACAATTGCTAAAACAAAAAGAGTCAAATACACAGCGATTTGAAAGAAATCTATATAGTCAAAGAAAGCAAGCTATCTTTTATTTACCACGTTTCCCTCCTCAATGTTTTTGTTCCCTCCTCCACAATTATAATATTTTCCCTCAACCATATTATTTTCCCTCCTCAATGTTATTATTCCCTCCTCCACAATCTTATTGTTTTCCCTCCTCCTCCTCCTCATTTCTATTGTTTTCTCTCCTCCACCTCCTCATTTTGATTGTTTTCCCTCCTCCTTCTCCTCCCCATTTCTATTGTTTTCCCTCCTCCACCTCCTCATCTTTATTGTTTTCCCTCCTCCTCCTCCTCCACCTGCTCCTCATTTCTATTGTTTTCCCTCGAAAACGCCAGAGAGGCCAAAATGAGACCATCACATTTGATTTTGGCCTTATAGGCCTGATTTTGGCCTTTTGGTCATTTCGAGGGAAAACAATAGAAATGAGGAGGAGGTAGTGGTGGAGGAGGAGGAGGATGAGGAGGAGGGAAAACAATCAAAATGAGAAAGAGGAGGAGGAGGGAAAATAATAAAAATGTGGAGGAGGGAATAATAAGTTTTCAGCTCCACTTTGTGTATATGTGCGTGTGTTTTGTTTATATATCCGAGTTTTAGCGCTAAATAAGAAGACGTAAACTTTATTGAAATAAAGGCTGTTCACCTCCACTTTCTGTATGTTTTTTGTTTATATGTCTGACTTTTAGCGCTAAATAAGATATAGGAAGCCGTTTCTCGCCTTGCTAGGTGATCGCTTCACTTATTTCTAGTTTTCTTTTAATAGACGGTCCGAACACCGGGCTCAAGTTACTTTACAGGTAAGCCGAGGCAAGCCTATTGTGCCTATTGTAGTATTGCCTCATTAGTAAACCTATACCGAATTAGTATGCAGGAAGACAGTTATACATATTAATAAAGGGAATCCACTTTTGCGAGGGAATCCAAATTAGTATGGAGGAAGGCATTTTTACCCCGCTAGCTAGACACTGACTAGGCACATAATTAATATGCGGGAAGGCAGTGACTAGGCACTTAATTAGTATGGAGGAAATCCAAATTAGTATGCTGGAAATCGACGGGAAATCCAAAATCCGGTTAATTTTAACATAGTATACTACTACCACCAAAACGCACGTTTACGAAAATGGTCACCAGAGGGGACTTTTTTAATTGCCCGCTTATTGTTTTCGTGTAACAGAAAGAAAACAGAGGTTTTCGAATACGATAATGTATATCTCATACAGCGCATACCCTGTTTACCAAGTAAGGGATGCTATCGTATTTCTATTGTCTTAGAGTTTTTGTGTGGATGAGCAAAAACGATTCTAGTACGCTATGTCTTAACGCTTTTTTAATAGTAAAAGGGAGAAAAAATATCAAAAATATCCAGATACTTGCTGACGAGGCCTTAGATCGTTCCATGCTTGCCATGAAGAGCGTGCCATCTACTCAGTAGATAGCACTCTAAACAGCTGCGCCAATTATCAGCACTAACTATCGTGTATGAATAAATGAATGCATGTCTTGATTAAAAGCATTTTTGTTACTCATTTTCATACCTTCATATTTGGTCTGAATTTTCCTTTGAGTTGCTTTTCCCTCAAACACGTAATTTCTGGCAAACAACTTAATAGTGTAGTTTGTGGTTTTGTTTAAACCTCCAATATATAGATGCTTGACCAATAGATTGGTTAAATTCCTATTTTGTATCTCCGTGTTGCCCTGCAATATTAAAACTCTGTATGCTGTAATAGGACGTCCCCCATTATTAGCTGGTTTTGTCCAACTAACGTTTATGGAAGTTGCTTTAATGTCCACTCCGACGGTCGGTAAGCCTGGCGCCTCTGAAGTAGAGCAAAATAGAACCCCTGAAATCCCTACATATGACTTGCGCAAGGATATGGAGTGGGATTTAGGGTAGGTCGTTTGTATGCTTGTACGAATCAGGGAATTGTTTGGGTACCTTTTCTGATCAGAAACCGCTAAACAAAAGTAGTACAGCTCCAAGCTTCATTTTGTCTCATTAACTGATTGTTATATAGAAAGACTACAAAACGGAAATACAGAGGGGAAAACACCTTATATGACATAACCAACACGAGCAGGATGGATAAGTAGCAGAACTCGGGGATTGGCAAAGATGGAGAGCACCATCAACCAACTATATTCCCTAAGTCGACTTAAAGCAAGTTTAAGAAACACCTTATCCTTTCATTAATTAAATCATAAAAGATGATATGCCGTTAATCGGTGATGGCTCGGTTTTTATTTTGAATGAAAGCTGAGTTAAAGGCTTCACTCGAAAAATATTTAACATAAAAGAAAGATCTCGAGAGAGTACTGAATTGTAAATTTATTGACCTATGCACGAGGAGCCGCATGCAGTAAAATTTCTGTCCCGTAATTTAATCAGTTAAATTATCAAAGTTGACAGGTCTTTCTGATAATCAAAGCGACCGTTCGGTTTACCATTTACACTTTCAGTGCAAAGGCTGTCACGGGAACATTAACACCTTCAGGATAATTGCTTACCATAACAGTGGCAGGTCGCGCGCGTCTGGTCGGTTTCGAAGAACGTGAACGTGACTGTTGTTTTCATTCAGTGACTGTGCGTGTTGAGATGCCAACGTTTAAAACAGACTGCAACCTTAAATTTTTGTTATAGAAGCAAGGAAGCTGCTGAGTAGAAACTAAACTGTCCCAGACTTATTCCGTTTCATTCGTTTACTTTCATTTTGATGGGGTCTGTATGATGAATTTACTTCTGCCTTCTAATCAGGCACGTAAACAACATAGAGATAAAACATTTCATTTTGCTTTTGTGGAGTAAATTCTTCTTAAAAAAGTTAAACTAGCGGACCACTTTCTCTGCGTACTTGTAAAAACAGGCATTTAATATTTAATATGTCGCGCTACACTGCGAAATCTTCTTGTCGTGGATCAGATTTCAGTATACATATTGTTAATCTTCATTTCGCGCCAGAATAAATTAGTTTGCGCGCAAAGGGCTTCTAAAGAAAATCACAAGGTTTGTCCCACTTCGAGTCCACCTTCTGGAGATACACCGGCATGGTAGCTGGAAGACATTGCCGAGGCGAAGATCTGGCATTTTTTCCTCCTCGTCGTTTTTTCCCCGCGACCTTTGTTTATATTTGTAGTGAGAATGCGTGCATATCGGTGGATTTTACTTCAGTCAAGCGGCTTCAGTTCTTGCGGCCTGCTACTCATCATAAAGAAGAGTGCCGGAATCGCTTTGTTCACCTTTAACAGATCTGTTGTTGAATGCAAGGTAAAAGAACGGACTACTGTAAGGTAAGAATTGAAGTTTAAATTCGTTTCTCGGTGAAAAATAGCGCATACAACTCGTGAAACCCGTGAGTATTACCTCTGTTTAATACACCGGATGTCATGCGATGACCCCTTGTTTTTACGATGAATAAGACGGATACAAACAATAATTTCTTTCGCAACGTTTAGTATAATTTACTTAATATGGAGATCATCTGAGGACGATTTTTCGTTATATATGCTTCATTTCTTGACTTATTCCGGCTACGTGCGAAAAATTAGGTGAGAATGTTTGTGTGCTATAATTATACTGATGATTTCTTGCACCTTGAAACTCATGAAAGCCAAACTTGAATTAACCCTAGCAGAAACCTCTTTTAACGGAGGAACAGTATTATTTAGTTGCACTAAAATCTAATAATTGTTACTGCATTTGCATGCTCTCTGTAACCTCGTGGGTAGAACATACCTGATGGTTACGTTAATAATAATCATTGCATTTTCTCTTTGTAACCTCGTGGGTAGAACATACCTGACGGTTACATTAATAATAATCACTGCATTTTCTCTCTGTAACCTCGTGGGTAGAACATACCTGAAGGTTACGTTAATAATAATCATTGCATTTTCTCTTTGTAACCTCGTGGGTAGAACATACCTGAAAGTTACGTACGTTAATAATAATCATTGCATTTGCTCTCCGTAACCTCGTGGGTAGAATATACCTGACGGTTACATTTAATAATAATCACTGCATTTGCTCTCTGTAACCTCGTGGGTAGAACATACCTGATGGTTACGTTAATAATAAACTGTAAACTCGTGGGTAGAGTATACCTGATGGTTACATTAATAATAATCATTGCATTTTCTCTTTGTAACCTCGTTGGGAAAAAAATAATGCCTCTCTCCTGGAAATTTTGCCCTGTCCTTTGAGCATAGTCATCTTTGGGTAGCGAATTCACGAAAACAGGTAAAACGCTTTTTTTAACAACAGCATTTATATTATTTGGCTTTTTGAGGGAGGTTAAACATTAATGGAATAGAATATAAAAAAAGCTGATAAGGCGGAAAAAGTTATCTTTACAAAATGCGCTTTGACAATGTCAAGAGTGAAATAAACTGTGAAGAGTCAATGTCAATGACAAGAGTGAAATAAAGTTTTGTAGTTAGCCCGAAAAAAAACCTGTTCCTGCATGAAAAGCAGTTCTGATTCCCTTCTCTTAACTAGAAGAGATGCATATCCCTGTGAACCAGTTTTTTAACCAGGAGCGATTCCCACTCACTTCTGATACTTTATTGACACGAGTTTCTATTTCAATATATATCTAATTCAAGCTTAGCCGCGTGATAGCTCTTCATTAGCGCAAAGGTCCAGTGATATTTTGATTGACGTGTTGTTTCGGATCCTGAGGTTTTTTTAACACCTTTTCTCTAGCTTAACTGGCGAAGATATTCTAGGAATAAGTGATATTTTGATTAACGTGTTGTTTCGGATCCTGAGGTTTTTTTAACACCTTTTCTCTAGCTTAACTGGCGAAGATATTCTAGGAATAAGTGATATTTTGATTGACGTGTTGTTTAGGATCCTGAGGTTGTTTAACACCTTTTCTCTAGCTTAACTGGCGAAGATATTCTAGGAATTTGCCCTTCACTTCCAAATTCTTTGATGTGGCGCCAGATGCCGTACAAGAATATCACCGCTCGCGGCTCCTCGTGGTCTACCCCCTTTAAATAAGGACACGAAAAACAATAGGAAAAAAGGGCAATGCTAAAATAAAAACAATTCGAATTTAATTAAGTCCCATCTTCTGTACTTGTGTTTCTTAGTGAAACCAACAGACCAAATGTTAAATAGAAATATACCTTTGGATGACCACCTTTGCTTCTAGGCATTATAAGAGGGCGGTATATAATAGGTCTTTGTGGTCTTGTCTTGTGTTTTGTTGTAAACATTTACGATATACACACACCTGCCGTTTGGGCACCTATTTCGGGGGGAGGGGAATTAGCTTTTTAAATGACGTAATCGCGGTGTTCTTCTTACCCGTGCCCAAGGTGTTTTTGTCCCACATTACTATTTAGCTGCAAAGGGCCCATACTCCTTTAAGCATGTTAAAAACGGAAGAAATACGTGTAACCATTGCCCAAACGGCAAAAAAAAAATAGACTGATACTTTTTTTCCAATTGTAGGTGTATGTATATCACAGATAATTAAACAGCTATTTCACTAAACTTTGTAGGAAGAAAAGCAAAGAACCTGTAAGGCAAGACCGCAATATAATATTTGATTTTATAATGACTTGCTAATAATGCACTGTGCGTGTTGTTGGGTATGCTAGCAGCCACACTACTTTTCCCTCGAGAGCTGTGCACGTTTTATGTGGGAGAATTTTTCAATCAAGGAAACTGAAACCAGAGGTGGTGGTTAGCCCTTCAAACAGCAAAGAGCCCAAGCAAAGATGACGGCAACGGCGATGACAACGGTAGAAATAAATAGGTTGAGATTGGCAAAGCATCATCTTTGCACGTGCATGACGCTTGTTTTTTTCCGTTTTGTACATTTCGAAACAGGGCATGGAACTTCATATTAACGCGCTTTTATATAGGGCAAGTGATCAGGAGACAAACATTTCTTTCACTTTTTTTGAACATAGACACTCCTTAAGAATCCATTTCCAAAAAAATTCGCGATATTATTCGAAAAAACAAACAATTCTCACATGGAACTTGTCCTGAGCATAAGTAGTAGAGGTCTACTATAGAAATGTCCTTTCAGTATCATCTGAAGTATACTTTGGCGAGCTTTATTTTTTACTTGAGTATGGTAACCTTTTACTTGAGTATGGTAACCTTTTTCGTGCACTTCTCTACCAAGTTATGCAAATTTTAACATGTAACAATGCGGTTTTCCATTGTTATTTAGCTGATAAAAAGCGAGGGTACACGTATTCTGAAACGTTATTTCACTTTGAAAGCGATATGCTTGCATGCCGTCTTTGTGATGCCGTCTTGTGTGCTTTTCATTAGTCTCGCTTACGTAAGCAGCGAGACTCATAATCTGCAACCTGTTTTTCGTTGTATTTATGACACAAAAGGGGGTCACTGAAACTGGGAATAAGAATCGTTGGGTGACCGAGGTCACCACGTTTTGCGAAGAAAGCTTAAGAAAGATTAATTTTGTAGCTTTTCCGAAACGTCTGTCCACGAATTCTATCGCTTGCAAGCGTTTATTAATTTGGAACAAGTGAGCACTACTGAGTAGTCTGAAAAAAAGAAAAGAATCTTTTTTAGCAAAACTGCGATGGTCGGGTGTTGTCAACTTTCATTGTATGCAAACAGTCTTGTGACGTGCCATGTAAATCACTTTTTTGATCTCTGGCAATGATGTAATTTCTCTGGAATCGAGGCCCTTGCATTTTCGTGTATAGCCTGTAAATATCCTGAAGAATACTCGACGTGGATAAAGTTGGAAGTAAACAACCTTTATCGAGTAAATCCTGCTTCGTGTAGAATTAATCGCCTCCTCATTTCTCGATCTTATCTCCAAGCAAGCGAGACGGAACGCCGCTGTAAGAGCGTTCTTGTTATATGATAACAAATCAGTGGCTAGCTTAGTGGAGTGCTTTTTGGCGGACTTGAACTAACCACATGACCTTGCGGTCTTCGCAAGAAGACTTTTTGCTTTTTTCCGACAACGTTTTTAGAAAAAGTTCCATACAACCAAAGCACAATAGAAATTTTACTTACTTATCTGCTGCACTAGCACCGTACTTGTATCAGTATCAACATCATTAGTTGCCTCGCATGTGTAATTCCCAAAGTCCTGATCACTGCTCATCAACACATCTACTATGTTTTTCAATCCTGTTACTTGATGTATAACGTTACCACTCGGGTTTTTCCAAGTCAAGTTTGGCGTCGGGACACCGTCTGCCTTACATGTCAATTTCACTGTATGTCCAATCCAAGACTGCGATGTTACAGGAGTGACCGACTCTACTACAGCTGCGTCTATAAATTATAATCATGACGAAACGTGTTACGGCGATAAAAAAGTTAGGAAAAAAAGCCAGTAGTAAAGTGAGCACACGATAAAAACTATATACTGATAAATTAGATAAATGGATGACTTTAGTTTACCGCTAAACCTGTTTAGCATACATATGTAGGTCATTAACTTCACGTTTTCACGGTTGAGCTCAAGGAGTAAGGCACATGTAGGCATTTCTTATGAAAAAGTGACAATAACGTAACTTTTTCAACTGCAAGACCACAATCCGTTCTACACCAGCATGCGTTGTTGATCAATTTCACTCACATTGCACAGTAATGAAGACATCATGGCTTTTAATGGCAATGCCATTATCAGCAGTGCATCGGTAGCCTCCCTCATCCTGCCTACCGACGGTCAGAGGAAAAGTGACGCGATTTTCACTAGACAGTCTTGTCCATGTGATATTTGGAGGTGGATTACCATCAGCTGTACAGTTAAGCATCACCTTATCTCTTTCATTTGCTGTCTGGTTATCAGATACGTGTGTGATGATTGGTGGACCTAACAAGTCAACAAAAGGATAGTTAATGAAGACTTGAGGTGGTAGACAAGAATGTTTTAGGGCCACAACGTTCATGTTTGAGTGAACACTACCTCGCCATTAAATAAAGCTATCGATAAACAATTATTACCACACTTGTATTTAAACTGAAATAAATAATAAATAATTCATTCATTCACCCTAGGCAGTGTTTATAGTACCTATTCTAGTGGGGCCGAGGAAATGATTCAAAATAATTCAAATTGAACTAAACAGGGTTAAGAATCCCAACTAGCCGGAGACAAACCAGCTGGCTACTTACAAGCATGGTCAAAGATTTTAACTCGGGACTACCGTGAACAAATCCAGCTAGCGATCAGAGCAGGACATGCACTCGGCGCCTCTGAATTGCAAGTCCAGCGCTCTAACTGTTCGGGTAAGCTGCCTCCTCCTTGAAAATAACGAAGGTTTATTATCACAAGTCAGATCAAGCATTCGTGAATTACAGCCTTAATGGTTAACTCCATCACAACTGCTGTTAGGCTGTTGTAGTAGTGTTCCTAACATTTAAAGAACATTTCGCATTTTAAGGTGTAGCAAACTTATCCTTACGATATTAAAGTTTCCTGAATTGTGGATTTTTAACTACCAATTAAACATTTTTTAATTTTTTAAATAGTTTTGAATTTTTCATGAAAAAGGCTTAAAATATAGGAAAATATAGGAATTTGCTCAATATATAGGACTTTATAGGTCAGGTCTGAAAAAAATGGATTTTATAGGATTTTATAGGAATATAGGAATCGCTTGACACACTGTCAGTGTCTAAAAACATAAACACGTATTACGTGCATGAGCTATTTTGAATGCTTCAGTGTAACAGAATCGGCAATCTACTGTCTTAATCCTGAATTAAGGCTATGTTTTGTGCGAAATTGGGTGTTGCTGTACATTACTGAAAACGAGAACCGCAGCGCATAGCTGATTCGATCTGACAAATTCACTTTTATTGGTCTTTCCTTCAGACATCTGGCGCAAAATAAACAAAACTCACCAAACGTTGCTTAGAGGGAAGACTCGAAGGTTTCAAGGTGTCTTCATGGTTTCTTAAAATAATGAAGGCCGTCGAATACCGAATAGCTAAGATTTTCATCATTGTTGTACATGGTTACATCATCATTATTCACGAGGTTATCACGTGCGATTCTACCTTAATGAAACAGCCTTTAACTCTGACCACTTAATTCTAAGTGTTACGAGTTTTTGCTTCTTAAAAGAAAAGAACCTTTGCTTAGGCACTAGTTACAAAACTAAAGATGTCGTGATACGTCCAAGTTACTATTATTACTGTGAAAAGCCAGCATGAGATGTAGAATCAGACAGTTCTGCACGTGAAAGTGTCGGACTTTGCCCCTTTCGTGGTTCGTACGTGGGGGAATTCGAGTTATCACAGTAATCCAGTAAACAGAATTATAAAACTAACTCGTGCACACAATTTGCACGTGAAGATGTACTTTGGGCCTTTTACAATTCGTACGTAAAAAAACGCAGTTTGTTTACTAGAAAATTTTGTCAAACGATTTTAAGAAATCACCTCGGCTTTACAACATCTGCAATTAAATTACGCTTCATGCAACGTCAAGGTTGATAGCCTAACATTTATTAACTTCCAAGAAAATTATCAATTGAAACTGCCGAAATATATTTCTACTCATATCATGTTATTCCACTTGATAAAACAATATCTAATTAGTGTTATCTAGCTTCTTCCAATTTTATTCCCTAACGCAGCTGTTTCTACTTAAAGCCCGGTTTCCATATATTCGCTACGATCTCTGCGATCGCTGAGAAAAAAAAACTTCAGCGATCGCAGCGATCATAGCGATTATATGGAAACCACATTCCAGCGATCGCAGCGACAACGATCGCTAAGATAGAAATATCTCAGCGATCGTTGTCGCTGCGATCGCTGGAAAGTGCTTTCCTTATGATCGCTGCGATCGCTGAACATTTTTTTCTCAGCGATCGCAGCGATCACCGCGATCGTGGCGCTCATATGAAAACCAGGCTTAAGTTACGCATCCTTACTAAATAAAACACCTTTCAATAACTATAATACTTAGTAAGCAGGAAGGATGTATCAAGTTGTTCACTTATTCATGTCTTTTTTTTGCCGGAACGAAAAAGGTCTGTTGAACTTTGTAAACGAGAGAATAAAGCTTGTTTACAGGATTAGCAATACTCGGTGCAACGTCCAAAAATATAAGCTGCCTTTCAAACATCTAAAAGCACAATTTATAGGTCGCATACTTTCGCATTAAAGCCCATATCTAAATACCAATTATTGTTTCATTGAAGAGCTTTGAAAATATATGATATTTTATACTCTACCTTGAAGCACGTGAAACAGAACTCATAAATACGTGCGTTGTACCGTTCGCGATAGCCGAATTCGGTCAGAAATGTTTTGAAGCGTCCACACTAAAATATGAGACCTTAAAAAGCCGCATCACTGTACACAGTGATTGAATCATCATTATTATAATGCTTCTAAACACCTGTAGCCGTAATAAAAGACGAAAAAATTGTGAAGAATCAAGATGGCGGTCTCAAAGTGCCCTTGTTCGACCTTTAGCAATGCGGTGTTTAATAGATACCAAGATCTCATTGGTTCCTAAGCATCAACCCATAGTACCTTCAACCGTATCGACTCTTGCAACAAAAATCCGAAGATGCAAGATACAAAGATACATACGCTCACACCACTGACATATGCGCAATTTTTTTTAAAATAGCTCAATGATCAATAAATGAATTTCATTTGAAACAGCAGAATGAAGAAATAAATGCAGATAAGATCATCCTAGTTAAACACGCAACTTACGCGGTTGCGAAAAAAAGCCTAAAAAAAATAGGCTTGCCGGGATTCGAACCCTGATGTCTGCGATACAAGTGCAACGCTCTAAACAATTGAGCTACAACCACGGACAAAACCTGTATAGAAACACAAATACCTAATTTCAGTTTCCAATCGTCCTGGCAAAATGGAAACCATCGCTAAATGAACGCTTGTTTTGCGCTCTACCCTTATCCAAAATTGTCAAATCTGCCAACACTGGGTTAAAACGATTAAGATAGTTCATTAAACCAAGATAGCTTTGAAGATCTTGAAGGTTTTGAAATGCTTTCATTTCTGTGATAGATTGTACCTTCTGAGGATCTATCTTATACCCTTGTGGAGTGAGGTTACCACCAAAAAACTGACAATCTTGAGACTTAAAGACATACTCCTCTGCACTGAAAGTGAGATTATTAGCTCTTGCTCTTTCCAACAAGGTAATCACAGCTGCATCATGGGGGATTTCTGCGTTGCCATGGCACAGCTGACGTAACCCACAATACCGGTAGTACTGGGAACACTCATCAGGACTCTATGAAGTCTTTCATGAACACGTCACCTGCCACGGTTAACTCAAAAGGTAGACGTAGCCAACTGTACATGCCCCATGGTGTGTTCAAAGTCGTCAGCAAACTACTCTCCTTGTTAGTGAAACATGCCAATAGCCTGACTTGACGTCGAGTAGGCTGAAGTGCTTTGAGTTTACCAGCTCTGGTAGGACATCATCAACCGTTTTGTTGTACTACTGTTTGCGGTTTATGGCTTCATTTAGATCTTTAGGGGCAAGGCATAACCTCAACGAACCATCTGATTTCTTCACAGGAACAAATAAATTGATCCTTTCCGTGTACTCGCATCTGGTATTCCAGATTCTGTCTTTCAACTAAAGGATTTTTTAAATAGAACGGATTGA